ACATCGCCCTCAAATTGAAACTTTCTTTCCTATATCCATCATAAACCTCCACCCCGTTCTCCCACAAAATCTTTAAATCTTCGATTAACGGTTTCAAGTAAACGTCTATGTCATTCCCTGGTTGTTTAGGTCCAGAAATTAACATAGATAACATCATGTACTTGCGCTTCATACATAGCCATGGAGGTAGGTTATAAATCATAATAATCACAGGCCATGTGGTATGTGAGATACTTTGAATACCATGCGGGTTCATTCCATCAATAGATAATGCCAAGCGAAGGTTTCTTGCTTCTCCTCCAAAATCAGGATAATCATTATCAATTTTCAACCATTATGGTGAATCTTCCGGATGTCGAAACTTTCCATCAATAATTCTTTCATCTTATGCCAAGTCAAGTGTCTTGCATTGGTTTCACTATAAAAGACGCGTCTAAATCTTGGAATTATAGGAAAATACCATAAGACTTTTATTGGAGACAATTTTTCTTATATCGAGATAAACCGCATTTAGGGCACTCATTTAACGATGCATATTCGTTTCGAAACAAAATGAAATTATTTGGACAAGCATGTATCTTATCATAGCTCATGCGAATAGAGAACAACATTTTTTTGGCCTCATAGGTTCGATTAGGAAGAACATTATCCTCTTGAAGCACATCTCTCATAATGGCTAATAACTCAGTGAAACTTGTATCCGACCATCCATTGTCCGCCTTTAAGTTGTACAACTTTAATACCGCAGACAGTCTTGTGAATTTAGTGCAACCTTTATACAACGGTTTCTCTGCATCACTTACCAACCTCTAAAACATTTTGGGACAATCCTGAAGATCTTCTTCAAGTGCTTCTGCAATCTCTTCGACTCGATCACAATCGTATGTATCTGTGTCATTGTCGTCTGAAGCATATGTCGTACTATCCCCCGGTTCAACATTCTCGTAACTTTTCTCACCATGAAATAGCCAACATGTGTAACTTCGATCAATTCCACGCCTCAATAAATGAGATTGCAACCCAACTGCGTCAACCCGACCCACAAAACAACAACTTAAGCAAGGACATTTCATTCGATTGGCGTCTTCGGCATGTTCAACAACAAACTTAACAAAATTCAATACCATATTCTCGTACTCTTTGGATAATCGATTGACAGACATCTATTTTTTATCCATGGTCTTACTATTAAGTAAGCTAAACAAAAACAATACTTAAAAAAAAGGACAAAGAATAAAAAGCTTAATACCAATTAGGCATATTCATCGAAAATAAAATACTATAATTATTCAAGCAACTATAGAAAATTAAAAGAACAACTAAACACCTGTAGAGAAGTCAATAACTTCTGAAACCACACAGTGTAATATTCTTGAAAACGCTCAGAAACTGCACTCTTCACAAGTAACCTATATAAATTATCAATTAATTTCATTATAATAAAACAAATCTATAGAATAAGAATTACATTAGAATATTTATACAACATTAAACATATATGTATACACCATTCAATAATCACTAATATTCTTTTTAACATATATTTTACTGTTTTAATTTTTTTTTAAATATAAATATTTGATTTTAAAATATGAAGGTAAAATATTAATAATTTTTTTTTGCTTAATAAAGATCTATTTTAATATTCTACATTAAAAATATAAATCAATCAAACAATTCATGTGACTCTATATTAATCAAATGGCTCATAAAGTGTAACTTTCATTTTTTTCCCTTCAAATTATATTCTAACTTCAAATCTAGATCTTCAAATTTTAATCCAACAATCATAATTTGTTTAACTATCTTAATTTATGTGTTAGTATGACTCTTACATTCGAGAATCCAAGTTTCCATAATTCTATTGACCCATAAATATTTTATGTAACATGTCTCTTTTCTCTAGAATTTTTATCACTATATAAACTATTTCTTTATCAATTTCTAATCACCAATTTTAATAAAATATTTCATCATTGTGTCTCGTCCGTGACTCTTGTCTAAAAACCAACTTTTCACAATAATAATCGCAATGGTAATGTATACACATTTCAATTATAATATTTTTTTCTCTCATTCAATACATGCAATATTCATTGTGACATTTACACAAACACCTTATATGCAAAACTCATTGTGACATTTTCCCAAACACCTTACATGCAAAAACCATATGCCACACAAAACACACCATAATGCAACATTATCAACACTAAATCAACACTAAAACAACACTATCAACACTATCAACTAAACCAAATGCAACATTATATATCAACATTATCAAATATATCAAAAATCATACCTAGAGGAGAAGAGAACCTTGGTTGTGAATGGAAGAAAGGATGAAACAGTCTTGAATGGAAGAAAGATGAGAACCTTGAAGAAAGAATGCAACGATTTTGTCAAGAATCAAACAAAAAATCGCGTCAAAGTGGGTTTTGTTCGTAACTGTTATGTATTGTGAAAATTGGTTTTGCAAAATAATAACGTGTTACTGTGTTTTATGTTGGGCGCGTGTTATATTTTTTTTATAACATGACTTTAGGCAGCGCTTGTAGTAGAAAGCGCTGCTTAATCCCCCCTTTAGGCAGCGCTTCTCCAAAGCGCTACAGTACTTACCCCCTTTAGCAGCGCTTTATAGATTCACATTAACCCCCTTTAGGCAGCGCTTTCACAAAGCGCTGCTTAATCCCCCCCTTTAGGAAGTGCTTCTGAAAAGCGCTTTGTAAGCCCACCCTTTAGGCAGTGCTTCAGGACCTACCCCTTTTAGCAGCACTTTATCAAACAATATTCACCCCCCTTAGGCATCGGATTTTTAGAAAGTACTGTCTAAGGTATAGGACAAAATTTATGTGTTTTTAAAATGCACTTTTAGCAGCGCTTTTGATAAGAAGCCGTGCCTTAGGTGTGTTGTTTAATCTTATTTTTTGCGTAGTGCTTCTTTCATGTCCTTAATTTTGTTTACATAATACAATACATACATGTTTGAATGTTTGAATAGAGGTTGAGATTCACATCATGAAGAAATTTTAATTGAATATCGTTTGAATAGGATTCGCAGTCAAGGAATATCGTGCGTGTGGCGAGCCTCAAGTCATATATGTTCACAGGGAGGCGAGGTATAATGGTTCCTTCACGACTGTTGTGAGTTATCAGGATTTCCAATTGTTTACTCAATAACATCTTAAGTCTTCTTCTTTTCATCTCTCTCATCACCCTTTATAAAGAACTTTGTGTGCGTCACTTCTTTCACCGTGGAAGCAACAAGTCTCTGGGCTAAGGAATCATTATAATGTTTTTGAAAATGCCTACAAGCATCTCTTGGTTGGGGTGGACGAGCTTGATGGCCGCATCAACTAATTGAGTGAGATACTCCCTAAACAACTCTAAATGGCCTTGGTAAATGTTGAATAGAATGGTGGTAAACATTCTTCTATGTCTGCTTGCCGAAAATTGATAGACCAACTTTTTTACTAGGTTTTGGTAGTTGGTAACTAAGAGTCATGGTAGGCTAAAGTGCCACATTAACGTCGTGTTCCTAAATGTACTAGACAATAGTTTTCACCTCAGGGAGGAAGAGGCTTAAATAATTGCCATTTATATGTTAATGAAGGCGAAATGCTACTATGGATCGCTACAACCATCAAACTTATTCAGTTATAGTGGGTTACAATTCTATGGTACATGGGCTTCCCATGTTTCGTGAGAGATATGCTAGAAGTCCATTGTTTATCTCTATTCAGTGGGTTTAGCCTCCTGTTGGCATTGTTGGAGTTGAATGACGATGTTTTCCAAAAATTGATTACAGTGATGCAAATGGTCCATAGCGACACTTATCCCCGCTATGGCATTTTGGTTGTCTCTATAACTATTATTGGTCGAAGTTGTTGCTTGCTTGTTCGCCATACTGATAAAGGGACGATGTTTTCCAAAGTTTGATTATGGTGATGCAAATGGTCCATAAGGACACTCATCCTTGCTATGACATTTTGGTTGTCTCTAGAACTATTATTGGTCGAAGTTGTTGCTTGCTTGTTCACCATACTGATAAAGGATTGAAGATGTTGATAACAACTTGACTATCTAATGAAAGGGTGACCCATAACAGTTTTACTAGAGTCTTGCAGTGGGTGTCAATTGTACTTGCTAAAAACGTACAATAGAGATAGTCATATACGTTTAGGGTTGTTGATGGTGTTAGAGCAAACTCACACAGTGGTGAGATGCTTTATATCTCTGAATGCTAAGTGAATTGAATGTCCCTCTCAATCTTGTGATTTATGTATTTATAGAGATCTATTAGATATGGATTCTTGGACTTAGAGAGTGGTTGTTTTGTCTGTATTAGAAGCGTGAAAATCGCTATTCCCTTATTTTCTCAGATGGTGACTTCCATCTTTGAGAGAAACTCCACATATTTAGTGTCTAAGGATACGTTAATCCTCACGTTTTATAAGTGGGTGAAGGATGGTTCAACTCAAACCTTGTAGGGGGCGAGTGATGCGATCAATGACGAATGTAACATTCAATGGGTGCGTGATGCAATCGGCCAGTTACTATAAAACCTCACTTTAGGCTGTGTGTGATATTCACCTACCTTATTCAATTTTGTATTGTTTCTTATGGACCCTTTCCTTTCATGCTTGATAAACTTGCCTTCCGAAAACACTCAATACAATTATACCTGTACTTATGGTGAAAAAAATCTTAAAAATCAAGCACTCTACTATACAATTATAATAGATATTATAGAGCCACACCTATTAATATTATAGCTTAGATAGCTGGCTAACTTTAGGCTATCTTTTTCCATATTTTGTCACCTTTCCCGTCATTAATTTGGATTACATGATACTACAATACATGCATGTTTGAATAGAGGTTGAGATTTGCATAATCATGAGGAAAGTTTAATAGAAAAAATATTTTGTTTTAGTATGATGCTAGCTATGTAACATAGGAAAGCATCTTAAATCCTATAAGTAATATATAAGAGTTTAAATGCTTCCAAAATCTCTAATAGAGAAAGTTGTTTTTATCATGCATATCCCCAGCATGGCGTAACCCTAAAGTGAGTGACACGTCACCATTAGTGGGCCCAAATCTGATAAGAGTTGATGATCCAATGTCAGCATTAACATCGGCTGCTGTCTCATAATCTTCTGCAACTAAGCTTCCATACCGACACGTGTCATCCATGACCATCGATCTGTGTGGGGACAGAGCTGAATCAAAGGGTGGAGCCAAGGCGGTGGTGACGTTGATGGTGGTTGTGGTGGTGGTGGAGGTGGATTGGACTGCTTGGTTTTCCGAGAAGTCTTGCTGTCTATTGATTGCAAGCAGTGAAGAGTCGTTTTCATGAGCATTGATATCGGATCTTTTTCTTGTTGGTTGTGGTTGTGGTGGTGGCTGATGATCTGTTGCTGTTGATGTTGGTGATGTCTGTGTTTGGTGGCCATCGTTGCTATTGCTATTGCTGTTGTTGCTTTGGTTGTTTCTTTCTCTCTCTTCTGCAAACTCTGCTTCATTAAGTTCTTGTTGGTACATCTCTTCCACCATAGGTTTCCACAATCTAACCCTGGCATTTATGAACCAGTTTGATACCTGAAATTAATCAATCACATTCAAACCATTCAACACAATACAATACACCAATGATATTTGTTTCTAGTATCAAAAATGCAAAAGATTCATTCATAACAATAGTATCTCCAAGGATAACATACGGTGTTTTTAAGAGGATTAGTTTTATCATCTCAAAAGAGATAGGACCGCAGCTTATTATCCGCATTTCTGTATAATCTTAATTATTTATATAATTTGAAGATATAAACATATTAAATATAAGAACTGTGATTTGTCACTAAGGTATCTTCTCTGTGTGAATCAAAGAAAGCGAAATGACAGAAAATTTTGAATGAACACTATTCATCAACAGTTTGCTTCAACTAAAGGACAGTGCTTTTAATTGTATACATGACCTTATCATATGTCTGCTTCTGGTCCTAACTCACCATTGCAGGGTACATCTAGGCATAAATATATGGCATAGGAAATTAATAGACCCTTACTTTTTGTTTTATCAAGCCATTAATTACACATGTATAGGTACTGTTTTATATTATTTATTATTATATATTATATATTGCATGTAAGAAACTTTTGGAATTTGGTTAATCTAGAAAAAAAAGTACATAACAATAGTCATTTAGTACATAATCCACACATGTAATAAAAAAAGTTAGGATATGAAAAAACATAAAAACAAGGCATGCAACATATCTTATCTATAATAGTAGTATTCTAAATCAAATGATGATATAATCATAAAAAAAGATATGATAAAATAATAAGCTATAGAACACAAAGTTGCATGAATATAATGACATGCATATATGAGCAAACAAAAGATGCCATTATCATGTTATCTTCAAAACAAACATTTATTTCCCATATTTATAGTTCCTATTGTGTGGTTGGGTGAATCATATTGATATAATAGATAAAACATCAAAAAAAGATAACTGAAAGAATCTAGAGTAAGCTAGTTGGGTAGAAAACATCACATTTTCATGTCTCATTTCCACAGTAAGTTATGTCATGAATCATGATGAGTAAACATTTAAAAAAACAGAGAAAATAAACAAAACTAAGAATTTATCTAAAATAACAACATAGGTGTAATAAAAAACAAACATTGCCACTTTAAGAAAAACATGTGGCAAGAAAATTCAAAATCTAAAATCATGAAAGTTAAATCTGAAATAAATTTACTGCTGGTCCCCCTATATATACATATTTCAGAGTTCCATTTTTTGGTTGAATTTATAGATGTGGGCCTAGTTAAAATTACAGAGTGTATATATATTTGTCTCTTTCTGAATTGTAATGTAAACTCTAGACTGTAATATGGAAAGGTAGAATGAAGGAACCTGATTTCGTGATAGGCCAGTTTGTCGTGCTAATAGATGCTTATCTGCATCACTTGGATACCTGAGAAAGAGACCAGAAAGAAAATGACATCAGAGTCCTTCCCTTAACAGTATAAAGAGACATGAAAGCTTTATGTACCCTTAGCTTTGTTTCAAACATTTCTTTCTTTCCTTTTTCATGGGCGTGAGAATCTAAAACAAAGAAAGAAAGATCTATGTCCTATACCTGACATATATAGCAGAAGTAAAGAGGTTTTCACTGTATTGTGTATTGTATTGTATTGTACCGTGTGTGTACATTACATTACACACTCATCAATGATTATTGTTTCTATGCTTTTCTAATTAGGTGTTGTTTAAATAGTGATATTTGGAGGTTATTTTGTAGTTAATGCATTGATTAGGTGAATTGTTTTTGGCATTTTTTATGGTAAGACAAGATCGAAGGACACTGCAATGTTACTGTTTATCTAAACGATATTTTATGCATATACGACACATGAATTGTGGCTTTTACATTCTCTATCTTTTTCTTTTCAGATGCCGTGATGCTTTTTTCTTTTTAATGATCATTGTACTGTGTATTTTGCATTACCTTTTTTGTATAGTCTGTTAATTAACTTCAAAGATTCCTATACAAGAAATTAATGTGACTCTATGTTTTATATGAGTGACATATTTCACTAAATGATATTTGTTGCAAAGATCAAATTAAGGTATAGGATATTTTTTGAGTATAAGTATGGATATATTTTCGTTATCATAAGTATAAAATTGAAGATATTGACTTTAAAATTATGCAAATAATACTAGTTAAATAATAAAAATTTAAAAAGTGATTTATTATATTGAATATTAAAATAATTACCTGTTTTAAAATAACTTTTTTCAATATTAGACATATACTATAGAAAAAAAATATAAGAATAAGATAAAAATAAATAAGATCGACCGACATGGAATAATGATCTAAAGTACATCCATATTTTTTATAAGAAAAAAGTAGACCATAACAATAATATTTTTTAACTTTATTTAGAAAACAATTAGGTTACTTACCATTAAAAGATTATTTTTAATTTATGCATTCAAATTAAATAAATATAAATTGTTTTATTACAAATTATTATTGTTATTATATTAAATATTGGATCATGTGTTCATAATATATTTGCTAACATTTTCTATGATTTCAACACATTAACTACTTTGTGTAAAATTTTAAGGATTAGTTATAGTTTATTATGCCTTTAATATTTGGTCTTATAATATTAAAAAATATTATATTCATTTTCAAATATAAGATTAAATATTATTAAGTAAATTAATTAAATTATTGAAGTTGATATTAAATATTAAATTTATTGATAATTGATTTACTTTAAGAGTAATATATAATTCTTAATAAACTATAGTTTCACAATAGTAATATAATTTCTAATTAAATTTAAAGTTATCATCAATGGTAAAATTTATAGTATCATCAATGGTTAGTAATATTTCAAAAAGGAAAAAGGAGTAAGAAACATACGGGTGTAGAAAATGCTCAAAAAGCCAAGCTCTCAAAACATTGACAGAACGTTCAGGCAAGCCTCTTTGTGGTCTCCAAGCTTCTTGATCCATCATCCCCATCTGATGAAACACTCTCTGTTGTCTTAGGCTTTGTTCAAGTGCCTTAAGTCTAGGAGTCTCTCCCTTCGTTAAACCTCCTCCTGCACCTTCTTTCTCTCCAAGCATCTCACAACTTTTCTTCACCTCTGCTGTTATTGCATCCTTTAGACACCGGAAATGACGAGACATTGCCTTCTGTGCTAGTGATGTGTATGGAATTGCTGCTCCGAAACCCATCATCACGTCGAATGAGTTCACTACCACTTGCATTTGTTCACAATAGTGATTGTATCTTCTGTCCACCTGCATAATTAAACATAATCACATTTGTTAGTGTCGTGTCGTGTCAGTATCAAGTATCAGACTCTATTACGTCAGGACACCCGACATCAACAAGTGTTTATTGTTATAAAATGTTTGTGTAGGTGATAAGTGATAACAATTTGCTACGTTATGTATATGGTGGTGATGAGAAAGTGAGTGAAGTGAGTGCCTTTCTTACTTGTGTTGGAAAGAGGAGGAAACGTCGCTTCATGATGGACGTATTCTCTTCTCCTAATTATTGTTACTTTAATATCATAGTTTTCACCAAACTAAAACAAACCCAAATTCAATACTAAAAAAAATCTTCCCACCAATCAAATAGAATGATTAAAAAATTAAAACAAGTTTCAATTAAATAAGTGACAAATCCCCACCAACTAATCCTATGCAAGTAAGTAGAATAGAAGGATATTCTACTATTCTAGCCGGCTTTTTTTCTCTCTCAATTTAAATTAAATATGTTCATAGATACCGGCCAAACAATTATTTTATTATTATAGATTTGAATCCTGCTATTCACGCTATTCACTGTTGTGTGTATGAGTTTCTACTAATTATTATCTCTCATTTGGCAAATTAAAAATTAAATATAAAGAAAAAATATATGGGGAGGGGAGCTTGACTCTAATGAAGAGAGGGAGAGAGATTACATGCCTCATCAAGCATGGATAGAAGTTTGACCTTCCTTCTTTGATGCTCAATCTTATCAGCAGCAGACAAAGGAAGAGGATTGTCTTTTGATGAAGATGAAGGAATTATAGGATCACCAGAAGCATTGGAGGAGGAATTATTAGGGTTTGAATTGAACTTAATCTTCTTCTTAATAAATTGACCCCTTCCAACACTGCAAAATTCTTGAAGCAATTCTTGTGTGGCTTTCATGTATTTTGAATTTCTCAAAACATTTACTACTACGCTTCCGAATCCTCCTTGATGATGAGTTTGTAATTGGTATCCTCCATTAATACTGGTCCCTCCTTCTCCTCCTCCTCCTCCTCCTCCTTGCAATTGTAAATTCAGTGCGTGATGATTTAGTTTGTACGGATAGGATGAAGAGGGTCCACCTACACCTTGATTATTGTAATACAGAAAACCATTATCTTCTCCTCCCATTCTCAGTTCCTCCTCAGCTTTTGCAGCTTCCAATGAAGAAGATAACGATAACGAAAGACCTTGACCTTGTCTTTGTCCTTGTCCTTGTCTTTGTCCTTGTCCTTGTGCTTCCACAGAATCACCACCCCATGTGAAATGTCCAAAATTATTACCAGAATTGGGAAAACCATGGAGAGAATTATTAGAGGGAGGGTTTGGGAGTAACATGTGAAGAGTTGAAGAATTTTGAGGAGGGGGAGGAGGAGATGATGATGATGTTGTTGTCTGATGAGATTGAGAAGGGTTTGTCAGAAAAAGTTGCATGGCAGCAGCTGAATCAGCTGCTACATTAATACTCGAAATCTGATGTTGCATCCCTTGTCTGTTATTACCATACCAGTTATCATTTCCTGAGATTGTTTGTTGTTGTTGCTGCTGTTGATGATGATGATGTCTTGATGAAGAAGACGACGAAGATCGAAACCTCGCGGTTTCTAATAATTCAGCTGTGCTTGAAGGATCAGCGAAATTAAACATCTCTGATAACATACTTGCTGTTTCATACACACCACCACCTCTTTCTTCTTCTAAAGATTCTGCTGCAGATGAATCAAATCCTTGCAACAACCTCATTTTCTCCCTCTGGATCTGCTGCTGCTGCTGCAACGATCTCTCGAATCCATTCGAGGAGAATCCGAAGATGGCTTGCTGATGATAATCTTGTGAGGACATAGAATTTGAACAATATTTCAAGGTTTGGTTATAGTGTTTCTTCAAGTAAATAACAGAAGAAGAAAATGGTACTGGTGCAGCTATTCCCATGTTGAAATCATCTTCCTTTCTCAGCAACCACCACCTCCTTGTTCTACATAACAAACACACCAACACCAAAATCCAATAATTCAGTTATCAGTAATATTCATAATTAGTTAACAAAAAAATATAACCTACTCCAAAAACAGTGATGGATCTATGATTATGGACATAACACAAAACACAGCATAAATATATGAATATATGTACCTGTTAGAGTTACAGGTTATGAAAGGATGATGATGTAAAACTTTCAGACATCGTTTTCTCTTCTGCGGTTTTGAGAACCAGTTTCCACAGCTTCTTTCATCTCTCTCTCTCCCACTCTCTCTCTCTCTCTTTCACTCTCTCCTCTTTCTTTTTCTCTCTATTTGTTGTCTCCTGTCGTCTCTTTCTCTCCTTTTCTTTCTTTTGTTTTGTTTCTTTATGCGGTAATGTTTTTGCAATCACCTTCTACTAAATATGAAAATGCAACTTACACACAACATATTAGTATATTAAATAAAAAAAAACAAATGCTTTCTAACAAACAACTGTTATTTTAAAATATGATGTCACCAAACTTGTTATTGGGAAAATATAACAACCGTGTTAAAAAGGGATAAAGTTTTATATATAGATTAATTAGAGTTAGGATATAAAAGTATTACAAAATTATTATCTATTCATCCATCAATCCCAACAATACTAACTAAAGGGAGTAAGAAAGATAACAGAGAGGAAAAGAAAGCGATCGCTGTCCTCCTTCTTCTTTGGTCTTCATCTCTTCCTTTTGTTGTTTCCCCATCAATAATGTCCTTTTGTATTTACTTTAAATTTAATTATTTTTAATTATTCTTTGGTGTTATGTAATTTAGTTAAAGAAGAATGACATTCATACACCAAAACGTGACATCTACACGCTACTTTCCTACTCTTTTGTTTGTTTTATTATATTTAATAATTATTTTTCGCTTTTTCAAATATAAATCAACATGTGTCCTTGTTGTATTTTAGTAGGTGTGTGTTAAAATGTGGTGTTAGAATAGTAATCCTCTTAGTTAAATATAGATAACATTAGAATATCAACAATTTTTTGAAGAGCGGAAAAGTTTTTGTATGGAGTCCTTTGTTTTCACTATTTTTATGATGTCACTATTGTTCAAGTCATCGAATGAAAGTGTATTTAAGTCTCTTAAATTATCATTCTGGGATATTTTCATTGAATGCCTATGAGTCATGTTGAGAAAGAGAAAATGGACCTGATTGTAAAGAGATTTATGAAAGTCTTCTTTAAAAGAGGACGATTGCTATCAAATATCACGATGGATGAGAACTTTTTCCGAAAGTGTGCAAATCTTGGAAGGAGGTATTGAAATTCTGGCAGCAGATACTTAATGTCACAGTGAATGTTATGACACCGTATCTGACTTTCTTCAAGACAGTAAATCTAAAAGCAGTAAAGAACACAATCAATTGTTTACCCAGTTCAGTGTGTAACAACACCTACTCTGGGGGCTACCAAGCCAGGGAGGAAATTCACTATAAGAGATATTAATTCAGGAATAAACCAACCAGTTTATCTCCTTCACTTAAGACCTACCCAATGCAACTTCAATCTAAGTTCAACTTAAACCTGAGTTCCTACTCACTCCCCCTCAATCACAACAGTGATACTAAACAATTGACTAATGAAATTATGAAGACACTCTTCAGAACATACACTTGATTTTGCTTCACAGCTTTTAATCAAGTAACACAAACACTCGTGCTTCAAAGCTTTGAGTGATAAACAATCCTAACTTGACTTTGCTTCAAAGCTTTAATCAAGTGACACAAACACTCGTGCTTCAAAGCTTTGAGTGATACACAACCCTTACAATCAAATCCTACTCCAAGTCACTTATCACAATGATAATTGCTTGGATTACAGTAGTTACAACTATACAGTCCCTTATTGATCTTCTGTCAAAAGTCTCTTTCACCAACAGTCTTCATGATGAATATATAACCAGTTATTCTTCTGTTAGGGCTTCCACGAAATTAGCTAGGGTTAATTAGGGTTAACCTCAAGACTTGGTCATAGGACTTTAACAACCAGATTAGGGTTAAGCAAAGTTAACCTAAGTCCACGTGAGAATCTGATCTGTACTGAATAAACCAGATTCCTGAAAATTTTCAGAAATAATAAATCTGCACAAATGTTAGTTCAGTACAGGATGTCTTAACATTGGTTATGACAACAAGAATCCTGTTTACTGATTTTGGTAGAATGCAATAAATATGATCATTGCATAATGATCAACTAAACACTCATATTGAGCAGCTCCTGTATGACATTCTTTTTCTGCAGAGTGTACCTTGTGTCCCAGAATGTTATGACATCAGTCATAACATTCACATAACTGGTTTTACCAAAAAACATGCCAACAACCAAACACTTACAAACTCCCCCTTTGGCAAATTTTTGGCTAAAACCCCTAAACAATCAGAGATTAGAAAGCAGCAGAATTAATAATATCTACCAAGTCTAATTCTACCAAAATTATCACAAAATCTTCTCCCCCTCTTTAGCCATAAATAGGCCAAAGATCATTGTACTTTTAGATTATACAGTCATCCAAAAGGAATAATAAAAACACAAAAAAATCAAAAATCATTTGCAGCATCAGGTACCAGCAGCAAACTTTTTAACTGCACTGATCTTCAAGCACTGTCATCTTCAGAGGAGGCACTATCTTCAGCAGCTTCCTCTTCCCTTCTTTGTCCTTCAATCTCCTCCTGTTCTAGTCTAGCAATCAGGTCCTCAAGAGTCCTTTTCCTTGTATCAAGCTCTTTGCAGGTTTCCTTCAGCACAGCTATAACATCAGTTTTCGTAGAACGAGACTTGACAGTTGATGTCTCAGCTGATGTCATGACAATGTCAGGAACATGTGTTCCCTGAAATAGCTTATAGTGCAACCCAAGAGCAGGGGCTCTTTTGCATACAGTATCTTTTTCAACTAGAATGTCAGGATACTGAGCAAGGACTATACCACATAGGAGAGAGGGAAAGGCAATAGGGCCTTTAATAGCATAACTTCCAGCATGTTTTAATGTTTGATCAAAGATATACTTGCCATAGTCAAAGTTTGTCCTGGTTCCAACAACATAAATGAATCTTCCCAAGCCTGTGGAGATGGTTGATTTATGGTTGGTGGGAACCCAGTTAGCTGCACCAATTTTGTGCAGAATGGCAAATTTCATGCTCAGCTTGCTTGCATTCAGCTTCCCTTTTAAGGGCCAGCTCTTGACTTGATTTGCAGTGATGGTTTGGCACACTTGGTTGTCAGTAACCTCTAGCTCAGGGCAAGCATCATCTGGTCTTCCTAGGAATTTGTTTATTTCAGAGGGAGAGAAATTTACCTTCCTTCCTCTCACATATGCACATTTAAAATCAGCTGACTTTCCATCAGCACACCCATCAGATAAATTCACTATGAATTCTTTGACAAGAACTTCATATCAGTTGGTAAACTTTACCACAGTATTTATTAGACCAGCAGTTTTGATTAGATCCATGATCTCCTTACATTCCATGGCACTGTTGTTCAGTTCTCTTTCCAAGGCTATCCTTTTCAAACATACATACTTCCACCTGTTTGCATTCTCAGGATGGTGAAAAGAAATGTTGTCAGTGGGGATTTCAGGGACTTTAGGCATTTGCTTGAGGAGAGTTTCCTTTTGATAGGAATGTCTTCAACATCAAATTCAAATTCAGATTCCTCATCAGATTCAGAGGGTTCAGGCTCTTTCCTTTTCTTTGCTATTTGTTGTCTCACAGGCTTTGAGAGGCTACCGGCAGGTACTCGAGTTTTCACCTTCCCTTTTGACAATCCAGCCTTCACAGTTTCTACTCCAGTCTTGTTCTCAGACCTGGTTTTCTTATGAACAACATCAGCAGTCTTCTCTTTGGAGAGGCTTTTGGCAGCATCCTGCTTTCCTTTTCTGTTCATCATCCTTCTGGCTATGCTAGGGTTGATATTTGCAATTAAGTCATTGTCAGAGTATTCTTCATCAACATCAATAATCGGGGGTTCAACATCCTTCTCAGTAGGGTTCTGGTGATCATCAAGATTTTCAGAAGATTTCCTAATGTTGTCATCCGGTGTCTCAACATTCTGAGTGACATCTGGATTCATTTCAACATTTGGACTAGCAGATTCAGATGAAGAAGCTTGTGACCTTCTTGCATGTTTGGTTCGCAGCTTCTTAACCTTAGTGGGGTCAACTGCCAGTTCACGAAGAGGAGTTATCTCCAGAACATCAGAATCCATGCAGTTTGTGATTGCCCTAGGTTCTCGATCAGAGGATGCGGAAGAAGTAGTCTCCTTTGAAGAGGATGATGTCATGGATAGTTGAGACATTTTGAGAGTTTTAGAAAACAGGTAGCAGTAATAGTGCAGTCTTCGTTTGAGAGATTGGAGATTGTTGCAGAAACGCGAGAGGAGTGAGATATATGAATGTCTATTCAACTTCTTAAAATCTTGGAAAGAAATAGAGAAGTAGATGATTAGCCCAATCAGAGTAGACTTAACAAAAAAATCTCTCTCATCCCTTGTTTTAAGCAAAATTAATTGCTACATATCTTCATGTTGGCAAATACCCAGCTTGCCCCTCAAATTTTCAATTTGATTTGCATTAAGTGCCTTGGTAAAAATTTCAGCCAGTTGTAGTTTTGTGGCAACATGTTCCAGTTTAGTCGTCTTCTCCTCTACAAGATCTCTGATGAAGTGATGTCTAATGTCAATATGCTTGGTCTTGCTATGCTGAATAGGATTCTTGGAAATGTTGATAGTGCTCAGATTGTCACAGTACAATGTCATAACATCTTGTGTGACATTATACTCAGTAAGCATCTGTTTCATCCAGATCATTTGAGAACAACTACTACCAGCTGCTATGTATTCAGCTTCAGCAGTAGATAGAGACACACAGTTCTGTTTCTTGCTGAACCAGGAGACAAGATTATTTCCTAATAAGAAACATCC